AACAGCAAAATGGTTAAAACAAAACCAGCAAAAACTTAATGCAGATAAATCGAACACCTTAATTTTCAGCGAAACAGACCAAAAATATATCGAATTCGCAAACTTCGAGTTTAAATAACAGCCAATTGAGCAAAAAAAAATGTTTTTCGAGATCTTGAAACTCATTTAGCTAAACTGCTGATTTCTGATGAATCATTAGTTTCCTGGTATGAAAAGTTACGAAATTTTGCTGAAGTTTTCGCAGATTACGAAAAAGTACCAAATACCTTGTGAACCAAGCACCTTGTAAAAATCACAAAACTTTCTGTAAATCTGTTTTGCAGTATAGTGTTTTGGCTGACGCATCCGCAAAGAAGACCAGAGTAGATTCTTTAGATGAAAATAGAAGGTTTGTTTTTCGAATTGTCTTAAGAGCGCGTAATCACCAATCAATCCAAAATCAAAGATCGAAAAAATAAATTGTTTTTTTTTGCTAGTTAACTCCAATTGTATGAACCAGTGAAATCAGTGTTTAAACTTCTCAGATGTGAAAATACTATTCCTCTTTTGAATAGGCTCATTAAGGATGAGGAAAAGAACGTTTCTCTAAGAAATGCGCTGTACAGCAAAAAACTACGAACAAGAGTATACAAAAACTCAAATGAGTCAATTGTTGTTAGGCTGAAAAAATTTCAAACATTAACCTAAATTATCATCCAATTTTTCTGGAAAACTTAAGAAAAATTTCCTCTCAAAAAATAAATTTACCATTATAATTTTTTAGACTAGTAGATCCTTGATAACGAAGACTTCTTGAAAAGTATTTTCTCTGAGTAAAGTAAAATCAAAGATTTTATTGTTTTTTTTCTAGTAATGTTACCTTTTCTCTTTTTGTTGAGAAATCCAATATCACTTGAAATCTGAATAGTCGCATACTCAAATATTGAGAATTTTTTCTCACCCAGTATTTACTGAATGATAATCCGCTGTGAGACACCTGTACATCGATCCAATGGTGCTCTCCTAGGCAGTGAATTTCTTGGCGTGGTTTGTAAGTTTATTAAACACCCACAATGGAATTGCTCGAGAACATTTTATCATTGCTATTTTTTGGTTTGTTTTCTGGCAATTCGAATCCAATTTGAAGTTTTGTTCGCAATTTTAACTTGTTCGCAATTTTAACTTGTTCGCGAAATTTAAGAAGTTGTCCGATAATATTGTTTAAAAAGACAGCTGATTTGTAGTTAATCCCAGTTTTTTTGGCAATATCGATGACCTTCAGCTTTTGAATTGGTCAAAACTTGAACATTTTTATCGGTCAAAAAGTTTCAGTTAACTAAGTGTTTGTAAACAATTTGATGGGTTGTAAAAAGCAGTGAGAAACTAAAATCCGACGTCGAAATGAACAGTTTTCAGGCTCGTTGACCGAAAAGTATATTGCCAACAATTTGGCATTAACCATAAATTAGGGGCTTTCAACAGTGCCGAATTTCGACAGTACCGAAAAAGGCGGGAAAATTTCAGAATAATTTACACGCATTTTCTAAAAAGCGGGAAATAACTGACGCTAATTATTAAAGAAAATCGCTCCAATTTTGGCGCCAATATGTCTGCAACTGCAAATTAAACAATCATTTTGGCGCCAAAACGTGTAAGCTGCAAATTTTATCGCTCAAAATCTTAAAGTTTTTCTTAAGATTGTAAGCGATCGCCGTTTAATTGTTGATTGCCGCATTTAGTATGTTGAAATTTGTTCAAATTTTCGGCACTGTTGAACAAAGTTTTCATTTTAGGCTCTGTTGAACAATTTTTCATTATCAGTACTGTTGTTTTTTGGCACTGTAGCACTGTCCCCATAAATTATCCGGACAAAAAGCTTTAAATTTGATAGTTATTGCACAAATGTGCGTAAATCTAAGCTTTGCCCCTATTTAAAATTATATTGCCGGATGTTTTTGAGCCGGATTTTGCAATGAAAAAATTATAAAAAAACAAAAAAAACGAATATAACAATGTTTTAACAAAACGTCAATTTAGATCTAGGCATTATGTAGAACTAGAGGATTCCTTCACAAGCTGTCCCTTTGGTAGTGAATTCAGCGGGGCGACCGAGATTCACTACTTTCTACAATCCCGAAAGGGTTGATTTGGTGGCAAAAATCCTGTATTGCTCTCTGTTGCTTGCCCCTTTTGTGTATTGCTCTTCCGGCTGTCTTGTCTACTCGATACACTTGAAAGAGTTTCTAATTATAGTTTAATTCAGATGATTATACGTCTAATTACAGAGGGCTCTGAGTGGCCAGGTTATAATCTAATAATCAAATCAAAAGGAAAAGGTCTGCAATTTATCAGCATAAATTGCCTTTTTGCTATTAACTTCCAGCTAACTTCACGAACACTGAACTATTCTCTCCCTAGAGAATCTCTGACGAGAAGCAACTATCTACTAATTCTGCTCAGTTGTTCTCTTACTCCGAGAACCAATTACCTGACTAACTACCAAAAATTGTTCTCTCTAACTGACGGAGAACCAACTATACTCTCTCTCAGAATCAATTGCTCTCTTCTCTGACTGAGAACCAACTACTCTCAATAGTAGTTAACAACTGTTCTGACTCTTACAAGCTCTACGGTACCCTCCAATTCCTTATCTTTCCTGAGTTTTAGTAGTGTCACCCCATTCCCTATTAGTCCTGACATCGGCTGGAATCACCCGTCCGCACATGTTTTAAGGCTATATCCCTCCCCCTGTCACTTCTGCCACGTGCAAACTTCGGTTTCTTATATCAATTTTTTCACGCTTATTAATTACTCGGTATGCGGTAGCTGTCACAATTTGACCAATCAAACAAATGTTATACGATCCAATCAACTAATTCCTGACCTCAGTGACTTCAGCCCTCGAGTTCAACTAACCTGTAAACCATGCTATGTTTACCCAGTAATCCTCCCAAGGTCTTTATTTTAAATATTCCGTTAACGTTCCGACCTCCTAAGGGTAGGGGTAGACCCTTTTCATGGGTAGCTAATTCATTCCAAGCATCTAAAATTTCCATCTGTACTCCATTCCGGGGGAACTTAGTTTGTCTATTAGGGGTCAAGTTAAACCAAAAAATCACTTCCAGAGAGCCAAGTAAACTCCCCGTTCGTTCATATTATTTAGGAGACTTAATTCTTTTTAGTCTATTTGAATTGCTATTAAAAGATCACTCACCAAGCTAACCTGATTACAATGTTTACCAAGTCCAATTTTAATTAAATCCACTACTCCAAGGGTTACAGGGGTTTGGCTGGGGAATACGCCACTTTCCGGTGTTTATCTCGTGGTTTTCCATGCAAGTTTGGGGTCAAAACGCCCAAAAGTCAACTTAAGGTCACCCAGGGGTCAACCGGGATCACATTTCCATATTTGGGTTCAGAATCCCATGGGGGTTTTAACTACCAAGTTTCATTCATATCCCATCAATACTTCACAAGTTATCCCATTCCTAAGATCCATTATCACTTCTTCCGGAAAAATACTATTAACACCGGAAGGAGTCGCCGGAGGGTTTTCACTCACGAGGGGTATTTTTTCGGGGTTCGTATTTTATGCCGATTGCCGCAATAAAATCATTATGCCACCATTCATCATTTCGCGTAAATTGCCTATTTTCGGTCTAGGGGTTGCTTTTTCAAGTGCTAATAGCTTCCGATCCAACCGCCGGACTTGGTTCAAAGTAAAATACAAGATGTATCTTGCCACTACCTATCATCCCTCCAAGTTTCAGCTCCCTGCATTCGTTGGAGGCCGAGAAACGACTTCCGGAAGTTAGGGGTGGGTTTGTTTACTTTGGGCATAAAACCGGAAGTGGGGTCTGGGGTTCCAAACTTAAGCTTCCCTCAACTAGGCCTACAACATGCTAGAATTTGAGCCGATTCAAACCGCTAGTTACAGAGTTCTGACAGGGCGATTTGCACTTCCGGGAACCGTTATCACTTGGGGCCGGGGGGTCCGAAGGGTCTGGATTTTTGCATGACCGAGTCAAATTATCTCTATTATCCGTCCTATGAGTTTCATAAAGCTAGCCCCGGTAGTTTCCATTTGATGGGTTTGCAAAATCGGTACCGTTTTAAAATCCTGCTTAGTCTCTGTTTGTTTTGGTCGATTTTGCAACTTAACCAATTGTTTACTCTGATACTTAGCTTACTGACGATTCAATCTTACGCTCAGGTTACTATAGCACGTATTACAGTAGAATCACCAATTCTACACATAATTTATACAAAAAAGCCAAAAACTGGCAAAGAAAGATCATTAAACTGAGCAATTCTTCAAACCAGCCTTCAAATTAACAATATTTCATGACTTTTTCAGTAAATGTTCGGCTTGAAGTTCCTAATTTTACGAGTCGGCTTGAAGTCCCACCGGCTTGTTGTCCGGCACCCCTGTCAATCAATCTTGCATCCCTTTATTGCGTTTTTTTGTCTGCTAAAAGGCTCATTTTTTTCTTTTTTTAAGCTTAAAGCTTGGTCTGCACCAGAAACGGGAAATACTGGTTGATGCGTGTTTAACTGCTAAAATTCCCCTCTTTGTATTTCTCAGAAATGTATTTAAAACCATCATTTTGCGTTTTGTATTTCTCAGAAATGTACTTCGCATGTTAAAACAATCATTTCGCATTGTCAATTTCTCAGTTGTCTTATGAAGTTCCATCAAAACCGGTTGTTTCTATAGACAGAAGCTATTCGACTACAGTGCTGATTTAAATTAATCGGACAAAACGAGCTAAACTTTAAATTTAAAACGCGTTTATCTCTAATAGGGTAGAGTTCAGGTAAAAACTTATGAAGAAAAAATTTGCTTAAAATTTTAGCAGAATTAATATGGTGTAATTTGGTTTGCGAATTTCGGGCGCAAAATTTTACCTCTGCGCAAAAATGAGGTGTCTGAATACTGACGTGTCTGAATACGCGGTTGTCTAAATACTGCTATGTAACCATTAAAGACGTTCCATAATAGTTATTTGAATTATTCGCAGAAAGCTCTTTGACGTTGTCGGCAAGAAAAATATTCAGGTCGCAAATTATTGCGGCAATTCTTTTTAGCCCTTATGGCAGCAAACTTTCAATTCATCGCTTTCCCTGTTAAAATTACTTTTAGACCTTGCAATTATTTTTTCTCTTCCAAATAGGATGAAAAACACTGATTATCTTTTAAACCACTTTGTGTTCCCCCGAAAAATTGACGCGAGAACTTCCCCCCATAATTTTCATTCATTCAACAAGCCCTCAGATAAAACTACTCACGATGGCCTTGAAAACACTTCATTTATATTATTGTTTTCGAAAGAGCTACAAGTGGCGAATAAAACTTTGCCAAACCTGATATCGGCGAAAAATAGGGCTCAGTTAGCTACTATTTTCAAGCGCTGGCATAATTACCAAAAATGGCCTTTACTGCAAGCCGAGCTGCTCAAGGACGCTATTGGCAGTTTCAGAGAGCCAGGAGACTGCCTTCCGCTAATTTGCGAGGACAAAAATGCACTGCTAATATTCAGAGTAGCATCATCAGAGGAAACTGACGCCATTTTGGTGAATGCAACACAATTGTTGTTGCCAGCTAACGCGTTCTTAAACGACAAAGAGTGTCCAGTTCGCAACTTACCCGATGGGCCGACGTTTGAGGTTCCGCGAGAAAAGGTGAGATCTAGAGCAAAGGCAACAACTCCTTAACTTCAAATCCTGAAAATAAACCCCTAAACATGCCGGATTTGACATTCGAATGCTCAAAAAACTTCCCCCTCGTTTCACCACCTAAATTGCAAATGGAAACAAGCCAATACGATAGAAAACTGCTTTGCTCTTTTCTTTCCCCGACCTGCTAATTTTTACACGTAAAATGTTAGAGAAAAAAGCCACTTGTTTATCAAAAAACTGTCGTGACTCAAAAGAGATAATTTGCTATAAAAAAGGTAATGCGCGTGAGTTTTCAAAAGTCAGAAACCTGGTTTAATTTAGCTGTTGATCAGACCACTCTCGAAATAGTAGTAAACCCAGGTGGACTGTTTCTCGTCGACTTTGACTGCGTCAAAGAAAACCTGCAGGGCTCAAAGCGGGTCTTTTCAAGTATACTCCCTTAAATTATAAAAAAATGAAATGAAAATTTTTATAATATAACTGGAACACTGTTACCAGGAAATGCACTAAATTATTATGAGACTGGTGAAAACGAACCATTATTACTTAATTGAGCCTCAAACTGACTTTTTCTCCAATTTTCGCCATTTTTCAGTGCATAAATTTCATTAAAAGGATTATAAATGCGTTTTTAATTGTCGTCAATTTCTCATCTTTGCTACTTTCTAGCTTGTTTAAACGCACGGGATATCAGCCCTGCATTTTTAAGTAAAACCAGTCAAACTTTGTTAGAAAAATTTACATTTTCATTGTTTATCAATTAGGGGGGTATAACTGAAAAGACCCTCAAAGCCTCCTAGTTATGATTAAGAGTCGATGGACGTAATATAGGCTGTGAAGATCTGGAAAAGTCTTGAACTGTTTTTTTTTCAGAAGAAGTCTTAAAATGCTTCAACGACCAAAAATATGCATTCATACTTAGGTACTACTATGGGAGCGAGGTCTCTTTTTAGACCACCGCGTATTCATACTCGTCAGTAAGCAGACAAATACTGTATGAACCAATCAGAATTGATATTAGAAAGCAAATTTACGAACTAAATAGTTATTAATTATTCATTTCTTCCTTGTCTCCATTCTGATTGGTTAGTACAGTATTTGTCTGCTGACTGACGAGTATGAATATGCGGTTGTCTAAATACTGCTACGAAACCAACACTTTGATGGAGTGGTCCCTCGAAATGCAAACTGATAGACAAGTCCCGCATGCATTTCGCATGTTATAATTTTGAAAAACAATTTGTATAAATAATTCATTTCAAAATCTTGCAAAATGTGTTCAGTCAGAAGTAGTATTGTATCGTGTCCCGGATCCTAAGGGGGGGGGGGGTCCTTCCTAAGGGGGGGGGGGTCCTCACGTAAAGCAAAATCCTAGGAAAGGGGTCCTTAATTTTTTGGAGGACCGCTATCCTAGGATTTTGTAAACGAAAGAAATTTTCCACCCAAAAAGCAGAAGACCCCCTACTTAGGATCTTGCTAAGTTTAGCTCAACAACAAGGGACACGATACAAAATTCTTTCTAATTCCAATTTTTGGGGTCCTAATTATTGGTCCTGGTTAATTATATGAATCATATTAATTGTTATATTTGTTTCGGGCAAATGAACTTTCGACCTAGTTGAAATTTGTTAGTGAACGGGGAATTGACTTTTATGGTATATAATAAAATGCGCCGGCCAATTTGGCAGCGTAGCTTAACTGTTGGCAGCAGTAAACTAATTCCTTAACTTGACCTAAATTTTATGGTGAAAAGGCAGTAAATTGAAATTACTCTCCAAGGGTGGCGGCCGTTTCTGGGCAAAATATACCAAATGATAAATTTGTCAAATTTTGAAATAAGAAAAATGAAATTAGAGGGAACTTGGTGTTCTGAAGATATTGATAATGAACATTTACAATTAAGAGTGTTTTCAACCGCAGAAAAAAACTCATTTTTCAAATTTAGTAATGAACGCTACGTCGTCTTCCTCGAAAGGGCAAAGGAAATTTCAAAGAAAGAATACGAGTTAATTTTCAAAGAACAATTTCATTTGAGTGAGCTTCAACAAATTTCTTGGTGCATTTCTACAAAACAAAAGTATGGTACTGTGAGCGATTTGAATTTTGCTGATTATGAAAACGTATTCGACTATTCGTTTGATTTTACCTCAAAAAGGGTTGATAAAGACTTGGAGAGAAAAATCCGTCTATGTTTCAACAAGCTATCAAAATACAAAAAACTTCCGGTGGTTTATTTAATTATTTACCACCGTTATCTTAATGAGACTACATGGTATTTGCAAGGTCACTTTTTTTTCCATTGGCTTGAAATTCGGCAGGTTGGAGAGGTGTTGGAAAAAATAAACAATGAAATTGCAAAAAAGCAGAGTAACTCCTATTGATTTGAAAATAATTCACGAAATTTATACGTCTTTGAAACAAACTTATCCTGATAATTCTAACCGACGCAACTATTTTCTAGCTGCATGTTCTCTGTTTTTTGTTAGTTCTGATAACCTTAACTACGACATTTTAATTAAGTTGAGACCTTATGGTGGCTTGATTGGTATTGATAACTCTTCCTTGGACAAATACTTGAAAAACTCCAAAATTTTACGATTGCACGCTATTTTGCACGATGCGGCCGGATTTATACACGAATTTTATCAACAGGGTCCCACGTACTGTTACATGTTGCCCTGGAACTGTAACAACAGCTTATTGGGACATTTGAGTGGAATAGCGTTCTGCCTTTTCATTAAGTTGAAAAAACCAGAAGTTTATCATTTACTAGAATGCTAGGCGAGAGATCAGTTGTGCTTGACGTGGAAGGCTTTCGTTACAAGAAAAACGCCTTTGTGGTTAAAGAATTAGCAATAACAACTTCAGACTACAGCGATCGACTCATTTTCCTACCTCCAGTGAATTTCAATATACTACCAAAGCTTGAACAAAAAGCTTACAACTGGTTAACAAATTATTTACACGGTCTCCATTGGGAAAACGGTGATTACCTTTACGTAAACTTGAATCAAATACTTCAGAGTTTTGTGTTGAGAAATCCCGGTGCCGTTTTTTACGCTAAAGGAAAAGAAAAGACAGAATTTTTGGCCAAGTACTTGGACCGAAAGATTGAAAACCTAGATGATTTGGGCTGTCCTCGGGTTGAAAAGTTATATTTTAAAAATTATCCAAGTTGCATTAAACATATTCCACACTACAACTCCAGGAATCATTGTGCCCTGAAGAAAACCAAGGTTTTTTATGATTGGTTGAAAAATGAACAACAGCGAGAGATCAGCGAAAGTGGAGACATACCTATCACCAAATTCAATGCTTTATGCGTGGATGACTCCAGAGGGTGATATTAAAATTTCATTAACGAGAATAGAGCTGATTGATTGCAGTGGCCAAATTGTTCAGAGGAAGGAGCAAATAATAATTTCCGAAGAAGAGTTGTCTACGTTGAAGAAGTTTTTTCCAGTTATTGATCAATTTGTATACTTCCAGGGATTCAAGTTTATCAGAAATGTTAGCCAGCAAGCGAGGAGTATATCTTCCCGAACTAGTCTTAGTACCCAAACGTCAGCCAGGAGTTCAGATGGATCTAAACAGCAGTGAATTGCCAGATGAGATTAGGACGATTGTGAAAGAGGATACTGTGAAGAAAATAATGTACTACGAAAAAACTGCAAATATCCCAGCAAACTTTGTTCTAGAAATGCATGACATAAATGATAGAGATTTTACACGTTCTGAAATTTTTTACTGTTCTCAAAACTAATTCAATTTTTTACAAGCTTCATTCAAAGAGAGAAAAAGTCTAACGCAGTCTGTAGAATAAATAGTTTCTCAAATGTCAGAAGCAACAACAGCAGTAGATGAACCTGACGCAACAATAGTAACAGAGTTTGTTTATAACGAGACAAACAGTGAAAAAAATTCATGGAAGTTTTGTAACAATGTAACTTTGCCAAGGTCTGAAGTAGTTTTTGTTGCGCAAATGGTAGTAATTCTAATTTTACTAACTTTCTGCATTCTCAAACTTTCTTTCACTAAATTAAGTTGCGAAGAAACGTCAGTTTGGTTCTCGATTTGATCAGGCTTGGTTGGTTACATACTACCAAACCCAAGAATATGAATAAAGTGATTGATACTTCGACAAGAATTTTTATGGCGATAGTGGGACCTTCAGGATCCGGGAAAACTGAGTTAATTTCGAAACTTCTGATGGGAAATACTTTTTACCCTAAATTTGGAACCGTTCTATATCTTTACAAAGAGATGCAATCTGCATTCTCAGAAAAAGTGTCTTCTCGCGAAGTGAATGTGGAGTTCATGAAATTCGACGGATTCGAATCTGTGAGAAAATTAGAAAATGTTGTTCTAGTTTTCGATGATTCATGCGAAGACATGTATAATGACAAGGAATTTGTTAGGTTAGCGACAGCGGGTAGACATAGAGGGATAGATGTAATATATGTCAAGCATAACTTGTTTCAACAAAGTCGATGGTCGCGTACGATTGATTTGAACACTTCACACATCATTCTGTTCAAATCGCCTCGCGACGTTCAGCAACTAGGTCTTTTAGGAAGACAATTGAATGTATCAAAATTTTTGAGAAACTGTTACGAATTAGCTACCAGAGACTCTTTTGGACATCTTCTAATCGACTTGGACCCCCGTACATCAGATTGTTTGAGATATTGTTCAAATATCACACCACCTGGGCCAACAGTTTTTTATTTACCCTTATCTGAAGCAGAAACTACTCCAATCAAAAATGAAAAAGAAAAACTTATCTATTCTGCGGCATATGGTACAACTGAAACCTGACGAGCTAAGAAGATTAATTAGAAAAACTTCAAATCGTGAGATCATAACACTTATTTGTGAATGTTTGCTCAATGTAGTCAATGGAAACGTACCCGTTAAAATCACAAACATCGAACAATTCGAGACAGCATACAAATACTTAATAACTCCAAAAACCAGTGTTGTCAAAAAACGTGCGATTATTT